AAACCTCCTTTCAAACACCAGATCAATCCCTTCCCGTTCCAACACCCCCCGCATATTCGTAGCGGCACCGCCCTTCCCAATGAGACAGGGCTGTCCAGCACGAGTTCCGGGTTTTGTGAAAGTGACAGGTTCGTGGGCACGCACGGCGCGCTGCGATGAAGGCGAGGCGCGACAGCGCTTCTGCGCGAGAGTAGTTGTTTAAAACCGGTTCGGGGTCGGGTGGACCGGTTGAGGTGGCGGTGGGGGGATGGCATTGCGTGCGTATGGTGGTGCCGGTGTGGGGGGTTGAGAGGGGGTGGGGTCGTGGTGTTGGTTGGGTGGTGGTGGTTGTGGTCGTGGTAGTGGTGTGGGCACGCGGGGGTGGTTGTGGGGTGTGGGTGAGGGCGGTGGCTGGTTGTTTGCCTTTGCCTTCGGACCAGGGGAGGGTTTGTCGATGGCGGTTCTCGCGTGGAGGGGGGGGCTTCACTAGGAGGTTGTCGATGGCCTCAAAACCGCTGTTAGAGTCGGACGTTTCGTCGCCGTCGGATAGGACGGGGGGTTTGGCGGAGGATGTGGCGCTCTGGGTACCCCGAGCCGGTTCTCGTTGGAAAGCGGTAGCTTCGATTTCGGAGCGTAGCTGTTGGGAGGGAGAAAGGAGTGCCTCATCCTCTGCCCCGTCGTACTGAGGGATGGGCCGGGAATAGTGAGCTTCCATCTCGGCAGGTTCCCTGGATGGCACTGAATAACGCGGATGTCTAGTTGGGGTATGCTGGTTGGAGGCAACCGCCCTGGCCCCGGCAACCGTTTGGCCAGCTTTCTCGGCGCGCATTTGTGGTGTTTCCGGAACCTCAACGTTGGGGTCGTACCGTGGCCGTTTCCTAACCGAACTTGAGAAGGGTGTTTGCGATGATACCCTGGCTCTTTTCAGGTTGATAGGAGGGGAAGAAACGAAATTAGCGTCGGAATCCTGTGACGCGGTCTCGTTGTCGTTGGCTTCCTCGACGCCAACCCACTTTTCGTGCACTTCCTGTACCTCCTCATCGTCTTCCCCTTCACCATCCTCCTCTTCCTCCTCCCCTTCATCCCACTGATCAAACTCCCTCAACGCCTCCTCAAACCCCAGTAAGTGTTTCTCAAACGCAACCTTGAGATGTACTGGCACGTGCGGCTCCGCGATCCAATCAAAGCCCAGCTCCTCAGCAACAACCTCCCAGTTGCGGAACGCGTGATCCGGCTCTCCCGTAGCACACTGCCACAGGTCCCAGAAGTCCACCGCCAGGCTATCAACCTGCGCCCAAGGGCCGGGCAGAACGCAGTTCAGCTCGTTGTATTCGTTGAACGTGCGCCAGAAATCCTCGCGAGACAGGACCAGCGTGGTCCTGGGGCCCGCGGGGGTTGCGTGTTGGTCCGTTTGGCCGGGTTCGTCTTCGGCTTCCTCGGGGTCGGTAGGTTCCGCGTCATGCTGGGGTACTACCGATGGGCCCTTCTCGGTGGTTGAGACCCGCCCCTCGTCTCTCGGCTCGGCTTGAGTCCCGGTCGGGGACAAACCACACGCCTGTCGTACCAAGAAACCCTGGGCTATTGGTTGTAACGCCACGACGCACGCCTGTAGTGTCCTCAGCCTGCTGCGCAAAATATAGCCCCTGGCTGGGGATTGTATTGCCCTGACTATCTTGACCATATTCCCTCTGTACTGTAACTCTTGTAGCCGAGTCATGGGTTCGCCATTCATGGGATTGATTGCGGACTCGACGGGCGCTATAACCGGCGTCGTTTGGTTTCTGCGGCCCTCGCTTGGGGGGGGTCTAGCTGGTGTTCTGACGGATGGTGGCGGTATATTTGGGGTTCTGGTGGATGGCGGCGGTGCGGCCCGTGTTGCGTGTGGTAACCGTGCCGTAGGTGTTTTGGTGGATGATGGCGGTACGGATAATCTTTTGGTGGATGGGGGCATGGCTCGCCTTGTGGTGGATGGTGGTGATATAGCTGGTGTCTTGACGGATGGCAACGACACAGCCGGTGCTGTTCGTGCCTTGGGAGGGCCTACCAGAGATGGTGTTGATATTGTTGGGCGTGTACGTGCCCGGGAAGACTCCGCCGCGGGTTCATCCTCGAGCTCTGAAAATTCCGATGGATCTCTGTGCGACAGGTACCTTATCCATCGATCGCGCCACGAGTGCCAGGTGTGTTGGGGGAACTGCGATGATCAGGATCCCAAACGAGAAATAATACACAAGCCATGGCTTACCTTCTCCTCGAGCTTTTGGTATATCTCCTTTCCCTTTGGTTTCTTGCCCATTTGTATGCGTTCCGCCACATATTTGACCAGCATCTTGTCCTCTTCATTGGTGAAGCGGATTCTAACGTTGGAACCTCGCCTGGGGGATGTTGGCGCTGTTGGCTCGGGGGGTGTTGGCCTGGCTGATGGTGCGGAAGTATCAGGTGCCGCTTGGGCTTTGTTGCTGGGCTGTGTGTGCGGCGGTGGCAACTTTGGTAGGACAGGAGGTAGCTGGTCCTCGCTAAGCAGAGACATCTTGTTGACCCATTTGTCTCGCCATGATTGCCAAGGGTGATTCGGATACTGGAAGGCATTAGCATGGGACACTGATGCTACAATCTGATCTTGGTGGCGGTCCCAACCAACCCTTTTGGCAAGTTCTTGGTAAATTTCGTTGCCTCGGGTCTTGAACCCGGCTTTTTTGACCCAGGTTACGAGTATCTGCTCGTCTAGTTTGCTAAATAAAACCCTGTTGCCTTTGGTCGGTACTCGGGTTTGGCGTACGGGGTAGTAGTCCTCGATGTTAACGAGCTCCCCCGCGGCCACGCAATCGTTGATGTACTTCCATGATACGGATCTTGGAGGGCAGTCTTTCCAGATATGATCCGCAATCAATATATCGGCATGCTTTTCCAACTCCACAATCTTGCCGCCATTGTCCTGCCACATAGTCAGAGACGTTTGCTTGGGGGCGGGAGGGGGGATTGCAGCGTACCTTGATTTTGTCCAAGATTAAACTACGGGTGGGGACCCTGCGGGAGACCCAATACTTGAGGCCGTTAAAGAGAGTCCCTTCGTACTTCCCATTTACTCCGTCGTATACAATAGGGGGTGCCATGCTGCATACTGCTGCTGAATCGGGGCGATGCGACTCTAACCCAAACCCTAAACTTGTCAACCACTGAGACGAAGGAGCGCAACCGAGGCCGAAAACCAGGCCGAAAATGCGATGAATGGATGGTAAATCGATGCTTTTGGACAGGGCTTATCACAGGGAGTTGAGAGTTGCGTTGTGTTTCGTGTTTCTAGAATGGTAGAGACGCGACTTGTCGCGGGTGTGTGGGATTCTTGTAAGTTTTTACATACGATGGGCGCAGTCATTCCTTCGAAATAAAACCGACTCAAAACCACAGCAAATTAATTGCTGAGCCCTGATCCTGTTTCGATGCTGGACTGTTAAATAATGAAGAAGTTGGTGTTTCGTTGTTGAGTGGTTGTTCAGGTGTTGCTGTGCTCGTTGCGTTGCGTTGCGTTGCGTTGCGTTGCGCCCCCACCACCGCTGTCACGCGATTTGTTTAAAGCGGGTGACCAACAAGAATGCTCGGTTAGCTGCTTAAAGAGTTTATTCAAGACCCGCACATTCGCTCTCATCTGATGCACCAAGCCAGTCTCAAACTCTCAAACGGCAACCGAATAGAGCGGGACAAGGTGTCGAGTACTCTCAATTGCCTTGAAATTTTCAATTCAAGCGTAGCGTGCCTCATTTTCCTACCTTTTTTGGGTCCAATTTCCAACAATTGGAGGACTTCATTCAGTAACGAGGCTGTCTCACTCATCCGGTGTTCGCAGCGCCGAGATTCAGGCTGGCGCTCCGTGGACAAAAAAGCCGAGCTCCAAGTGTGCTTGTCCGAAGTAGGCGCCACGGAAACCTGTAGAGAGGAAAGAAAAGAAAGCCATCGGAAAACTAAAGTACCTTACCTAGGTTTTTATATTTTACTCGATTTCTTACATTTGACTAATTTTGCTCGGTTTCCCTTACCGCCTTTTCCTTTCTCGTTTTATTTTGAACTTTCTTTCTCTCTTGTCCATTTCTCCTCCCATTTTGAGTTCGGCTTTTTTTGTCCAGAGAGGCCGAGGCTGGCCAACAACCAACCGCTCTTAAGCTCGGGAGCGCCGGAGTGGAGTTGATCATTGGCCCTCGCAACCGAACCTTGCACAGCCCCTGGCTGCAACAAACACAATAACCGCTGTATTCTGCACACTGTACACGATTCAAAGATCGGAACCTGCAAAGCATGTAGTTCTGGCTGGCACATCTTCTTAACGACCATCAAAATGGGCACCCTTGCCAACATTGCCCTCGTTGTTTTGGGCATCTCATTCTTGGTATTTGTAACATTTTTCGGTCGCCTTCCAGCACTCAGGTGAGACTCTCCCTCTCTTGGTCGGTAGTATGACCATTGCCTGACACACCTATCTAGACGCACCCCAATTGCCTGGCTGCACCGACTGTTATGGGTGCATCTTCCTAATTGGTTCACAAGCCTCGACCAGCGTCTCAGCGGGGGCAGGGTGACGAGCTCCTGCTCCCGCTTCGGCAACTACATGATGTATGACCGGCACCCGACCGTCCTGGTACGTACATGCAACAACAGCAAACCACAACAACCTCACCCATCCAATCCCGGCCCCCCTCCATCCTCTTCACGCCACTAACCCCTCCCCCAGATCTTCTTCCTCGCCCTCCTCATCGGCGGCGAAGTCCTCTACCTCCCCACCGCCTGGCCCCAACTCTCCCCCCTACACAAAGCCACCGGCGCCATCGCCATCCTCCTCCCCTACCTCTTCCTCTACCTCTCCGCGGCCACGGACGCAGGCACCATTACCGCGGCCAACCACGTGCCCGAGATGGCGCGCTACCCCTACGACTTCACCTTGTTCCACCCGGGCGCGGTCTGCAGCACGTGCCGCCGCCTGAAGCCGGCGCGGTCCAAGCACTGCGCCGTCTGCAAGCGCTGTGTGGCGCGCTGCGACCACCACTGCATCTTCATCAACAACTGCGTCGGCGCCGCCAACACCCACTGGTTCCTGTTGTTGTTGCTGTCGACCGCCCTCCTGACCCTGTACGGCGGGGTGTTGGGCGTGGGCCTGATGACGGCGCAGATGAGGGTGCGCTTCCCCGGGTGGAAGATGCTGTACTGGCGGGCGAACAGCGGGCGGGGGATGGCGTTTACGGAGTGGTTGGTGGTGTGGAGCTGGGGGATGCAGGATGCGGGGCGGGGCACCGGGGGTGGCGTGGCGATGGGCGCGGTGACGCTGCTGGCGCTGATGACGAGCCCGTTGGTGTGGGCGTTGTTGGGGTATCATTTGTGGTTGGTGTATTGCGGGACGACGACGAATGAGTCGATGAAATGGTCGGATTGGCAGGTGGAGATGGACGAGGGGTTGGCGTTTAAGAGGAGGATGGATGCGGGGAGGGTTAAGAATGTGAGGGTTGAGCCGGCGTGGACGCGCTGGCCGGTGGAGGCGGAGCAGGTTATGGTGAGGACTGATGATGGCAAGCCGCCGGCGAAGGAGGGCTGGGCGGGGTTTGGCGAGTGGGAGGCCGTGTGGAGGTTGAAGGATGTGGAGAACCTTTACGATTTGGGGTTCTGGGATAATCTGATAGATATCTTTTTCCCGGGCTTCATGTTTCGGGATCCGCATGTGCCTGTGGGAGAGGCAAGGTTGCGGCGGAAGAAGAAGAGAAGGGCGAGGAAGATCATTATAACGTAGGAAGGGATATGATAGATAGCATTAGATTACAATAGAGCCGTG